ATCGTACACTATTTTGTTTAGCTCCTGTTTGGTATAGATAAAAATAAGATTTTTAATAAATTTTGATAAAAATAGATGGAATGCTTGAATGAAACATTATGGATTTCTTGAAATGTGCGATTAAAATTAAAATTGTTGAGTTTAACTTAAATTTGAATTCATTTTTATATCTGAACCAAATAGGGACTTAATTGTCTCAGAGGCGATAGTTGCAAAGGTTGGGTTAGATGAGATATTGGATGTATGAGACTTGTCTACATGTTTCACGGTCAATTGGATATTCTTTGTTAACTAGGAACCATGGTGCTACCTAAATAACTAGGGGACTAAAATGATTAGAAAAATAGATCTGGGACCTATTTGTTATTACATGACTAGGTTGAAAAGCTGATACTGCAAATTTTCCTCCATCTTCAGTCTTTGGTTGTGAAAAAGGTACATGTTTGATTCTAAATGTGCATGATGTTAAGTTTGGTACGAGTGATTGTTGAGAATCCACGTGTACTCAATAATTGCTTGTCACTCGCTCCACAATTCTTCATAAAGAAAAAATAAAGCCGAGTTATCAATTAGGCACTTAGTCCATGTTTGTCAATCATTAACGTACGAAAATAAATTTATGAATAGTAAAATTCTGAAGAATGTAAGAAAATTTTTTGAGTTTACGTATAAAATATATTATTATAAAAATTTATAGTTGAAAATAAGTTTGAAGGAAAAAAGTTTTAAAATAATGATAGAAATCAAATAGAAGCTTAATTTCCTGATTGCATTCTTTTTTCTTCTATCTCTAACTTTTCTGAAATAAATATGTTGAGGATAAATTTCACGGTGAATAAGTTTAGAAATATAAAGTGAAAGATTCGTGAGGTGATAAAGGATCAGACATCCTCCACGCAATTGATAGGTTCATCGTATCCCATCTAGACTCTCAACGACCCGTCTCCACTTCCTCACAAGTATGCATTAGACGTGAATTAATGATTGACTTAGTCATCGTGTCACGTGTTTATCCTAATTAAATTATTTATGAGTAACATAATTTAGTAGTATGCCCAATAAACCCAATGCAGTGCATTGTATTGGGTCCTTTATTCAGTAAAGAAATTTAGTTGTTACATATTCGAGATGATTTGTGTTTTCAAAAAAGTCACTATCTTGCCATAACATGTTAAGAAATAAATATCAAATCGAATAAATATAAAAACATGAACTTATAATATATAAAGTTGTGTCACTCATTTTAATAATGTTGGTCTTTTAAGATGAAATTTGATGTCTTAGTGGAATATGTATGAAAAAAATGAAGTTTAATTAAGATCACATGGGGAATCTCAGAAGTCAACCCTAAGAAATTTGATGTCTTAATGGAATATTTATAGAAAAAAATGAAGTTTAATTAAGATTACATGGGGAATCTCAGAAGTCAACCCTAATTAATTTATGCAAGCCAAAAAATAAATAGAAAAAGAACTTGAAAAATAGCTATGTACGTGAATTTTTAAAAAAAAAAGTAGACTCAATTAACTGGATCATCATCAAATGGCGTCCCTTAATATGTGGAGGAGAAAAGGTGCCTCTATTCGGGATTGATTGGTAGTCACTCTTTTAAGAATTTTGTAGAAAGAATAGCGGTGGGAATTATGAAATGTGTGGTAAATGATAAGTAATAGCTTTTAATGCGTGATTTCAATTAAAGTTTGAATAAGTAATAGAAATAAAATTGAAGTTTCCAATAATATTAGACGTGTACATGCGTAATTGTAATCATAGACTTGTAGGTTGTAGCCTCAATAGGTGACACAATTATTAATATAGTGTTTTCAATTGTTGTTTGTGTCTCGTCACGTTATGAGTTATGTCTCCATAAAAGTCTTTTCTTTATTAGACCAACAGCAGTACAAGTATTTTTTTTAAATTTTTTTTAGCATCTTATTTTGAAAACAAGTAGTTTCAGTCATTTTCCCATACATTTGTAGGTTCATCTCATCTCATCGAGACTCCCAACCACCCACCCTCGATTTCCTCATTCGTGTGTGTCTACATTGGACATGTTTTAGAGCCTCTTTGAGCCCGCTTTTTTACTCAAAATATATTTTTTTAATAGTATTTTGACGTTCACATGTATGTGCATTCATGTGAGTATTTAAAGCATCACTTTATATGATATTCACATGTATACCGTAATATTTTTTTTATGACATGCAATAATGCATGTCGTAAAAAGCATTGCGTGCCGTAAAAAGCAAATTCTGCTCTAGTGAATGTAGATCCATGTCCAAAGGGGAGGTCTATTAGCATAGCAACCTCGCGTCTTAGATACTCGGGTTCTTGTCTTGCATTG